CAAATCCTACGACAACGTCATGCACGTGGGTCTGCGCAAGGTCACATTCAAATGGCAGAGAGGCAACAAAATAGGTCAGTGGTCATCGGTATGTGCACATTACATAGTAGAGGCTTTTTTGTGGTATTATTATAACACTTTTTCTCTTTGTTGACAGGCGAAGGGCAGTATGGAAAAGTTTACACATGCATCAATGTGGACACTGGAGAACTGATGGCCATGAAGGAGGTATGTGCTTGAGACTGTATATTAATTTCATGTATATAAAGCACTATAAGAACTTCAATAAATGTAACTGAATTTGCTTCCAGATTCGCTTTCAGCCCAATGACCACAAAACCATAAAGGAAACGGCGGATGAGCTGAAGATCTTTGAAGGAATCAAACATCCCAACCTTGTCCGCTACTTTGGTGTTGAGTTGCACAGGGTAAAAAGCTTTGTGTGTTTGTGTTATGTGACGGTCTGCTCGTCTGTTCTGTACTTTTAGTCCTCATTGTTCCCCGTTGGGTCTTGCAGGAAGAGATGTATATCTTTATGGAGTACTGTGATGAAGGGACCCTGGAGGAAGTGTCTAGACTGGGTCTGCAGGAGCACGTCATCCGCCTCTACAGCAAGCAGATCACGACGGCAATCAACGTGCTCCATGAACACGGCATTGTACACCGTGACATTAAAGGTGTTCATTTATTGTTTCATTTGCATCAAGATTTTCATGTTCTCCGTTACTTTTTTCTTCATCAAAATGATAGATGCAGATGTACTAAATGACATTTTCATAATTAGCTAGTTAATGGAATGTCTAGCTAATAATTATTTTATTGCATCGCTATTTATTGTTATTCTTTTACGTCCCAGGAGCCAATATCTTCCTCACGTCATCGGGCTTGATAAAGCTAGGGGACTTCGGCTGCTCAGTGAAGCTGAAGAACAATGCTCAGACGATGCCTGGAGAGGTGAACAGCACACTGGGAACAGCAGGTGAGAGAGACTTAAAGTTGTAGTTCCCAGGTTTAGACACCAGAGGGCATGTCAGACTTTTTGAACAGTATGGTGATGTATCCTAAAGCCACACCTGGCATACCGAAACACTATCCTTGCTGTAGATCTCAAAAGACATGTTCTTTTTGATGTAAAGCTCTGTGAAGCATGCTGGAGGTCTAGACATTTGTTTTAAACTGTTGTCTTATCACCAGTGCTGTCAAAAATTAAACACAAAAGAGTATCTTATGCTTTTTTAATGGTATCATCATATTTCATGATAAAGGGTCACTAGGCAAGCAGAAACGCTTCCTGGAAGACTTGAACAGTATGAAAAGTTGCACAATGTCCGTCACTAAAAGTTTAATTTCGGCTTTATTTTAGTATTATTTATATACTTTTATAATATTTATTAATGTTTTGCAGTAGCTGTTATATTAAAATTTTAGTTTTTCTCATTTTTATTAGTTTTTTTCCTTTTTTAATTATTCTATCTAGCTGTATTATTTCAGTTTTAGTTACTACTTAGTTTTAGTTAGTTGCCATTTTCGTTGTTGAAGTTTTTCATATAATATACTTTATTTCAATGAATGAAAACTATCTTTGAAAGTTTAACAATAACAACACAGCAGTTACCTCATCACAGGTTGTATCGATAAATATTGAGAATGTTTAACAATGGTAGCATTTTGAAATGTAAAATATAAAAGGACGTTTAAGTGTTAAATATAGCTTAAATGCAAACTATCAATCTTGTTAACTAATACTTTCAAAAATAGTTTGCTTTAAGCTAAAATTAAATATTAATATTAGATGAGAGACTTAAACTTACAAAACTTAAGCAAACATTAATGTTGCCTTGGCATCTAACTGAAATAAGTTTAAGTACGATTAAAATACTACAACTGAAATAAATAAAAGCTAAATAAAAAATTAAATGATAAAAGCACATAAATTGACTGAAACTAAAATTAAAGTGGAAAATGGAAAAATAAAAGCAAATTAAAAACTTAAATACCGTTATATGAATAACAATAAAAGAACACTATCTGGCATATGTAGCATTGTGGTAATTACCACAAAATACATTGTCTTCTCTCTTTTCTAGCATACATGGCTCCTGAGGTCATCACAAGAGCAAAGGGTGAAGGTCATGGCCGTGCTGCTGATATCTGGAGCCTGGGTTGTGTTCTTATAGAAATGGTCACTGGAAAGGTAAAAACCTGGTCTATGTGCATATTTTATGCCTAAGTTTTGTTCTTTATTTACCCATGTGCCAGCTTTTCCTCAAACTGGTTTGAAGATAGCTATCTGTTGTGAAGACATGTCCACTCTCATTCAACACCAAATCAAAAGGAATTTTCTTTGTTCTTACAACCAGTTTGGTTGTTTGGGCATGTGTAGACGAGCCCAAACAACCAAACTGGTACTGCTGGATAGGGCTTCCTGAAATGTAATTAATCAAATTTCCACCCATTACAACAAAACAAGATTCAGTTCAGGTATTCACCAGCTTTAAAGTTGATTGTTTTTGTAGTTCCATCATTCAGGTTTTTTTAGTGTGTAAAAAATCTACAAAAATCATGTTACTTTAAGTAACCCATGTTCTATCCTGTTTGCTAATTCAGAGACCGTGGCACGAATATGAGCATAACTTCCAGATCATGTATAAAGTGGGAATGGGCCACAAACCACCCATTCCTGAAAAGCTGAGCACAGAGGGGAAGGACTTCCTGGTCCACTGCCTGGAGAGTGAACCGAAGCGGCGCTGGACAGCTAGCGCCCTGTTGGACCACCCCTTTGTCAAGGTATGAACTCCTCCTCGCCCATACAGCTTGTTATTTCCTTCAGCTCATTTAGGGTTACTCATACGAAAGGGATGAGGCGCTGGTTTCTGGTGCCACATTTGTACAGAATGCCAAATTTCCAATCTGTTACCCAAACTAGATCCAGCCAGCACGTCTAGTACATCCACCAACATGTTACACACTTGAAAAAACATGAAAGCAGACGCTGACACAACTAAATTCTCACTTTGTGCAATAAACACAAACAATCAATGATTTTTTTTTTTAGTGATGCACCAAAATTTGGCAACTAAATATGGATGAAAACTTGGCTTGGGTTGACCATATTGATTTTACATTTTTAATGAACATTCATTTGAATGATCTTTTAGTCCATGCTGTTTTCAGTTGATACGTGAACAACTTCACAAAAACATTTGTAGTGCGCCTACCATCCAATAATCGCGATAAGCTCTGTGCTCAGATACTTTACTATTAAACAAAGTCTTAGCTTTAAAATTCGGGTCACTTTTCTAACAAAATTCAATCAGTCAATGTCATTTTGATTCTCTTTAACATCTTAAAGGCAGAGTAAGTGATTTTTCAAAAACACTTTAGAAAACTGATTCGGGCCGAATCGCAAAACAAACTTGTAGCCAATCAGCAATAAGGGGAGTGTCTATTCGTGATGTGGAGGAGAGCGCGTTCAGTGCATGGGACGGACATTAGCCGAGCCGAGCGACAGAAAGATAGAGATGGCGGATAAAAAATAAAAGAGGAAAACGTCTGCGGAACGATAAGGCAAGAAGTAGGACCCGTGTAAATATCGGATCAGCTTTCCAGCGCTGGAGAGAACTCAAATATCAACATTGGCTACCAGAAATCACTTACTCTGCCTTTAACAGGTTGAATAAAGCTGTCAAGAAAGTTTATATGAGTTTATATTTCAACAATGATTTGGAGTAGAAACTTATTTAATTTAAAAAGCTGATATGAAGACTTGCCTTATGTGCAATTTAATTGCTTATCATTTTTATTTGTTTGTTGATTATCAAATAAATGTGCTCTAATTGATTATTAAATAAACTTTTGTTTTTTGGGCTAAATAGAAATTTGAATCTTGGTTTAGGTAAAAAATTAATTTCGGTGCCTCACTAATTACAGAGGGTTGAGGTAGACCATATCATGCTGTCAGCTGCTTGGATGAGGCTGATGGAAACGGCACTAACACATCAATCTCATGTCTTTTCAATTGCAGGTCTGCACAGATGAAGAGTGACGGGGAAAGACGTGTATTCTTTTATTGTTTACATAAATGCTAGCACTACTTCACACGACACGAGGGAGGAAGAAGGAAAAACAGATGCACTCTGCTCGATACGAGCCCCTCGCAACGTTAAAAGCGGGGCAAGTCTTACATGTACAGTAACATGGGATGAAATGCGCGAGTGCGTTATGTACATACTGTAAGGATAGGGTTAGGGTTTTTCTTTGTACAAAGCATATTGTAAAGCTGAAATTTAGTAGCCACTTTGTTGGTGATTGAGTCACAGGGAATACGTTAGGAGACTTTAATTCAAGGGACGTTCTCCGCACAAAGCATCACAGAATGGGAGATGGAGGGAGTTTGGCATTGACTGTATGTACAATTTCAGTGAGTGTTCACTTAAGAAAACCTGGGGCTGAAAGTCACAGTAGAGATGGTTTTAATTTTCTTTTTTTGTTAAAATGGTGTTTTTGTTTGCCTTGCTGCAGAGCCCACTGTTAACAAGTCATATTTAAGCCTATAAGTAGTTGTGCTGCGTCGGCTCTGCCTTATGCTGGCCAATGGCGTGCCTTTACCATCTGTGTGTTCAAGAGCATAATCAACCAATGAGAGGGAAGAGGCCAGTCTGACTCCGCCTTTCTGCTGCTGCACTCAAACATGCTCTCACACAAGCATCAACTGCTGGTTCTCTGCTCCTCCAACAGTGTTTGCAATATTTAAAAAAAAAAAAGAATATTAATAAACAGACCATTTTTTTAAATAGCCTACTTGTCTTTAAAAAAAAAAAAAAACCTTAATGTGTAAATGCTTTCTTTCTGAAAACTTCATGTGGCGACTTCCTCGAATTTCATTCATGAAGGTGGTTTCACTTAGCTAATGCCAGTTCCTGTTCTGAAAATGCCCTCATGACCGTACAATAGCATGATCTTGTTGCCCTGGTGGATGACAGTCTTTCAGTTGTTGTTTATTTGCATCTCTTCCGTAGTTGGAACCCTTGTCAATCTCAGTCTGTCCGATCATCCAGCGCATACCAACTGACACTGAAAATAAAAGTGAAAATTCATCAGTTACAGCACAACAGCCAGTCACATTAGCATGCTTCATAACTAAACTAGGGCTCATTCATAATATCATTCATTAGATCAGTGGTTCTCAACCAAGGTTGCCAGAGAAAAAAGGCTGAGAACCACTGCATTAGATCATAATACCAACAGGGTTCCCATGGACATGGAAAACCTAGAAATATCAGGGAATTTTAAATGGAAAAGTCAGGGAGATTTGTGACTGTGAAATTTGTGAATGCTAGAACACTACGGACCTAGTTATACTTGGCTATAAATTTTTCCCCAGTAATCATAACTCATTGAAATTCCTTGGTCAACAGGTGTGGGAACCCTGTACTTAAGTAAAGAAGAAATGAAAGCTTAATTTAAACAGAAAATCTAGTAGATGCATGATTTCTTATAGCATATCTGATTTGTTTTATGTGCATTTAGTGTTTAGATGAAACTTTAACATCTGAAATTAATCTTTAATCCTGTGCTCACATGCTATCATATTTAAGGGCACTTTAAATGCATTAAAATGTCATTCATTCATGCGCTTATGAATTGACTAGCATGCAGTAAATCCAGATAGAAATGGTTGATATACTTACTGCTCTAGCACCTAATTGGTCTCCTTTATATTTTTATTTTTTGAAGAAAAAAAAAACAGATTGGAGGAAAATAGCAGCAGTATAAAATTCCTTTGTTGCTTGATGACAAAAAAGATTGACTAAAAAAAATCAGCTGCAATTTTACTATTTTGCTATTAGTTACACCATCTTAAATTCTGATCAATATGAAAATACCACCCCGCGCCCTTGTATTTATCCCAAGTACCTGCTAGACAGAAGACTGATGTACAGACGACAGTGAAGGTGGATCCTGATAGCAGCAACTGCAGCAGTAACATGCAGAGAGGATAGACCAGCAAGCAAACCCAGAAGAGCCAGTTCAGCAGGGCCCAAGGTCGATGTGGAGGGCTTGTAATGGCACCTGGAAAACGCCCTGTTTGTCTGTAATGCTCTTGGAATTCATCCTGTGTGAGATAGCACAACAAAAATTACACAATGCCCACGTTTATCCACTATGATATGAAAATACTAACTAAAATGCTAATACCAGCACCAGTGTTGTTCTTGTTAGCTATAACTTAAACTATTAAAATGTTTTCATTAACTGAAATAAAGCAGAAATAAATTTTTCTTTTTCTAATTTTTGTTTAAAAGAATAGTTCACCTAAAAATAAAAGTTCTGTCATTACTCACCCTAAATGTGAGAGCTTTTCAGACGACAGTGAAGGTGGATCCTGATAGCAGCAACTGCAGCAGTAACATGCAGAGAGGATAGACCAGCAAGCAAACCCAGAAGAGCCAGTTCAGCAGGGCCCAAGGTCGATGTGGAGGGCTTGTAATGGCACCTGGAAAACGCCCTGTTTGTCTGTAATGCTCTTGGAATTCATCCTGTGTGAGATAGCACAACAAAAATTACACAATGCCCACGTTTATCCACTATGATATGAAAATACTAACTAAAATGCTAATACCAGCACCAGTGTTCTTGTTAGCTATAACTTAAACTATTAAAATGTTTTCATTAACTGAAATAAAGCAGAAATAAATTTTTGTTTAAAAGAATAGTTCACCTAAAAATAAAAGTTCTGTCATTACTCACCCTAAATGTGAGAGCTTTTTGACCCTGCATAGACAGCAATGGAACTACCATGTTCAAGGCCCAGAAAGGTAGTAAGGACATCGTTAAAATAGTCGACATGTGAAATCAGTGTTTCAACCGTAATTTTATGAAGCTACAAGAATATTTGTGTGCAAAGAAATAAATTATGGGTGAATCACTGATGTCACATGGACTTTTTTTTAACAATGTCCTTACTACCTTTCTGGGCCTTGCGCGTGGTCGTTCCATTGTTGTCTATGCAGGGTCAGAAAGCTCATGGATTTCATAAAAAAAATCTTAATTTGTGTTCCGAAGATGAACAAAGGTCTTCCGGGTTTGGAACGAGTAAGGGTGAGTAATTAATGACAGAATTTTCATTTTTGGGTGAACTATCCCTTTAAGTATTAAAACTGAAATTAAAATCAAGCTAAATAGCTCTCTCTCCCTCTCTTTCTCTCCTACTTCGCTTCCTGTCACTGCTATACTGTCCTATCAAAATAAAAATGCCAAAAATAAATCTTAAAAAAACTAAAATAAATATAAAAATAAAAGCTAATTCAAAATATTAATACATGCTATAGTACTATATTGAAACAACACTGACCAGTACAAAAACACCTCCAACTAATGCAGGTAGTGCACTTACTTTTTCCTGATAGAGCTTGTGAAGCCAGGCCGCACATTCAGACTCATCCTCTGGGATTGTGTCCAGAGGAATTCGCCTAATAAACACACAAGGAAATCCATGACGGTTTATCTTAATGATGCAACTGACAACATATTCATAAAGTAGGTCATTAAACTAAAACATTTATAAATGATTATGGAGACTGCATATTGAACTTTGTTATAGCAGAAGACATTATCACAAAGTATTTAAAAAACAACAGGCTGTTAAATCTTGCCAAAGGGCAATGTGAAGAAAATTCTCTTTCATTCCTACCTCACATATAAATCCGCATGGTACTTTTTCCCATTGAGCACCCCTAGTAAAGTTGGCATTTCGTTGTTTCTGAAATTAAGTGTTGAATCATACACCGCAGTAACTACAGAGGAGACACAAACCAAGTCAGCGAGCCAAATCTTTAGAGGCTACATCAGCCAAACATACATTTTCTTTCACTTAAATGTAAATTGAAAAGACATCAACAGACTGATTAGCCATAATGATTATCAATTAGCCAAATTAGCCATAATGATTAGCCATAATCAGTCGTGGCCTAATGGTTAGAGAGTTGGACTCGTAACCCAAAGGTTGCGGGGTTCTAGTCTCGTACCGGCAGGGAGCGCTCTCTCCCACTTTCAATACCACGACTGAGGTGCCCTTGAGCAAGGCACCGAGTGCCCACTGCTCCGGGTGTGTGTTCACAGTGTGTGTGTGTGTTCACTGCTGTGTGTGTGCACTTTGGATGGTATAAATGCAGAGCACTAATTCCAAGTACGGGTCACCATACTTGGCCACATGTCACGTCACTTTCACTAAAAGCAATGTTGCTATGGGTTCCTCATTACTTAAAGGCAAAGAAGCTCTCACCCGTTCCCCTGAGGTTCTGGACTGTGACACAAAAGCCCTTGGTCCGAGGTAGAAGGTGGTACTTGAGTTTGGGCAGACCTTTCTTCTCTGCCACCTCCATACTAATCTTGTGCTTCTTTTCTGTGAATCGTGTGCCCTCACAGTGCAACAGGAACTATAGATGCATCATAAAATTGAATATCAATTTTCAAAGGAGACAGAAAAGCTAAAATAAAAAAAAGCTCAAGTGAATAACAAATTTATTACCACTACTGGTACTTCCATGGTACTTTTTTTAGAGCAAAAACACTATCATCACATGGAAAGAGCTGCGTTAATATTTTATTTTTTTTAAAAATCGCATTTTTTGTTCCACAGAAAAAAATAACAGCATATGAGCTGGAACATGAGTGTCAGTAAATCATGACAGATTTTTCATTTTTGTGTGAACAGGTTAACTATTCCTTTAACTAATTGTGTGGTTAAAGTAAAGGAAAAGAAAAATCTGAAATCTAGTAAAATGACCAGAATGAGATTTCACAAATATACCCAAAAGTTTTCTGGGTAATCCCGAAGGTTGCGCAGGCTTTGCACTACTGTCTTGCGATCCTCTTCCCATTGCCTTTTGCAGAAGACGATCTCAAGGAAGTACCACATCCAGCCAATCACAGGAACAAAGGAAAGTTCCTTTTTTGCCAACACCTTTGAGCTCTAAAAGCAAAATATGACAATCACATGACACCATCTAACAATCTATTTGCATCATGACAATACTGAGTCTTAAAAATTTATATTACTACAAATTAAGAATCATTTAGAATCACACACTTGTTATGATGTCTGAAAGCAAGTTTTTTTTATATGACTGTATTTTTGTCTTGCTGCAGAGCCCACTGTTAACAAGTCATATTTAAGCCTATAAGTAGTTGTGCTGCGTCGGCTCTGCCTTATGCTGGCCAATGGCGTGCCTTTACCATCTGTGTGTTCAAGAGCATAATCAACCAATGAGAGGGAAGAGGCCAGTCTGACTCCGCCTTTCTGCTGCTGCACTCAAACATGCTCTCACACAAGCATCAACTGCTGGTTCTCTGCTCCTCCAACAGTGTTTGCAATATTTAAAAAAAAAAAGAATATTAATAAACAGACCATTTTTTTTAAATAGCCTACTTGTCTTTAAAAAAAAAAAAAAACCTTAATGTGTAAATGCTTTCTTTCTGAAAACTTCATGTGGCGACTTCCTCGAATTTCATTCATGAAGGTGGTTTCACTTAGCTAATGCCAGTTCCTGTTCTGAAAATGCCCTCATGACCGTACAATAGCATGATCTTGTTGCCCTGGTGGATGACAGTCTTTCAGTTGTTGTTTATTTGCATCTCTTCCGTAGTTGGAACCCTTGTCAATCTCAGTCTGTCCGATCATCCAGCGCATACCAACTGACACTGAAAATAAAAGTGAAAATTCATCAGTTACAGCACAACAGCCAGTCACATTAGCATGCTTCATAACTAAACTAGGGCTCATTCATAATATCATTCATTAGATCAGTGGTTCTCAACCAAGGTTGCCAGAGAAAAAAGGCTGAGAACCACTGCATTAGATCATAATACCAACAGGGTTCCCATGGACATGGAAAACCTAGAAATATCAGGGAATTTTAAATGGAAAAGTCAGGGAGATTTGTGACTGTGAAATTTGTGAATGCTAGAACACTACGGACCTAGTTATACTTGGCTATAAATTTTTCCCCAGTAATCATAACTCATTGAAATTCCTTGGTCAACAGGTGTGGGAACCCTGTACTTAAGTAAAGAAGAAATGAAAGCTTAATTTAAACAGAAAATCTAGTAGATGCATGATTTCTTATAGCATATCTGATTTGTTTTATGTGCATTTAGTGTTTAGATGAAACTTTAACATCTGAAATTAATCTTTAATCCTGTGCTCACATGCTATCATATTTAAGGGCACTTTAAATGCATTAAAATGTCATTCATTCATGCGCTTATGAATTGACTAGCATGCAGTAAATCCAGATAGAAATGGTTGATATACTTACTGCTCTAGCACCTAATTGGTCTCCTTTATATTTTTATTTTTTGAAGAAAAAAAAAAACAGATTGGAGGAAAATAGCAGCAGTATAAAATTCCTTTGACTAAAAAAAATCAGCTGCAATTTTACTATTTTGCTATTAGTTACACCATCTTAAATTCTGATCAATATGAAAATACCACCCCGCGCCCTTGTATTTATCCCAAGTACCTGCTAGACAGAAGACTGATGTACAGACGACAGTGAAGGTGGATCCTGATAGCAGCAACTGCAGCAGTAACATGCAGAGAGGATAGACCAGCAAGCAAACCCAGAAGAGCCAGTTCAGCAGGGCCCAAGGTCGATGTGGAGGGCTTGTAATGGCACCTGGAAAACGCCCTGTTTGTCTGTAATGCTCTTGGAATTCATCCTGTGTGAGATAGCACAACAAAAATTACACAATGCCCACGTTTATCCACTATGATATGAAAATACTAACTAAAATGCTAATACCAGCACCAGTGTTCTTGTTAGCTATAACTTAAACTATTAAAATGTTTTCATTAACTGAAATAAAGCAGAAATAAATTTTTGTTTAAAAGAATAGTTCACCTAAAAATAAAAGTTCTGTCATTACTCACCCTAAATGTGAGAGCTTTTTGACCCTGCATAGACAGCAATGGAACTACCATGTTCAAGGCCCAGAAAGGTAGTAAGGACATCGTTAAAATAGTCGACATGTGAAATCAGTGTTTCAACCGTAATTTTATGAAGCTACAAGAATATTTGTGTGCAAAGAAATAAATTATGGGTGAATCACTGATGTCACATGGACTTTTTTTTAACAATGTCCTTACTACCTTTCTGGGCCTTGCGCGTGGTCGTTCCATTGTTGTCTATGCAGGGTCAGAAAGCTCATGGATTTCATAAAAAAAATCTTAATTTGTGTTCCGAAGATGAACAAAGGTCTTCCGGGTTTGGAACGAGTAAGGGTGAGTAATTAATGACAGAATTTTCATTTTTGGGTGAACTATCCCTTTAAGTATTAAAACTGAAATTAAAATCAAGCTAAATAGCTCTCTCTCCCTCTCTTTCTCTCCTACTTTGCTTCCTGTCACTGCTATACTGTCCTATCAAAATAAAAATGCCAAAAATAAATCTTAAAAAAACTAAAATAAATATAAAAATAAAAGCTAATTCAAAATATTAATACATGCTATAGTACTATATTGAAACAACACTGACCAGTACAAAAACACCTCCAACTAATGCAGGTAGTGCACTTACTTTTTCCTGATAGAGCTTGTGAAGCCAGGCTGCACATTCAGACTCATCCTCTGGGATTGTGTCCAGAGGAATTCGCCTAATAAACACACAAGGAAATCCATGACGGTTTATCTTAATGATGCAACTGACAACATATTCATAAAGTAGGTCATTAAACTAAAACATTTATAAATGATTATGGAGACTGCATATTGAACTTTGTTATAGCAGAAGACATTATCACAAAGTATTTAAAAAACAACAGGCTGTTAAATCTTGCCAAAGGGCAATGTGAAGAAAATTCTCTTTCATTCCTACCTCACATATAAATCCGCATGGTACTTTTTCCCATTGAGCACCCCTAGTAAAGTTGGCATTTCGTTGTTTCTGAAATTAAGTGTTGAATCATACACCGCAGTAACTACAGAGGAGACACAAACCAAGTCAGCGAGCCAAATCTTTAGAGGCTACATCAGCCAAACATACATTTTCTTTCACTTAAATGTAAATTGAAAAGACATCAACAGACTGATTAGCCATAATGATTATCAATTAGCCAAATTAGCCATAATGATTAGCCATAATCAGTCGTGGCCTAATGGTTAGAGAGTTGGACTCGTAACCCAAAGGTTGCGGGTTCGAGTCTCGTACCGGCAGGGAGCGCTCTCTCCCACTTTCAATACCACGACTGAGGTGCCCTTGAGCAAGGCACCGAGTGCCCACTGCTCCGGGTGTGTGTTCACAGTGTGTGTGTGTGTTCACTGCTGTGTGTGTGCACTTTGGATGGTATAAATGCAGAGCACTAATTCCAAGTACGGGTCACCATACTTGGCCACATGTCACGTCACTTTCACTAAAAGCAATGTTGCTATGGGTTCCTCATTACTTAAAGGCAAAGAAGCTCTCACCCGTTCCCCTGAGGTTCTGGACTGTGACACAAAAGCCCTTGGTCCGAGGTAGAAGGTGGTACTTGAGTTTGGGCAGACCTTTCTTCTCTGCCACCTCCATACTAATCTTGTGCTTCTTTTCTGTGAATCGTGTGCCCTCACAGTGCAACAGGAACTATAGATGCATCATAAAATTGAATATCAATTTTCAAAGGAGACAGAAAAGCTAAAATAAAAAAAAGCTCAAGTGAATAACAAATTTATTACCACTACTGGTACTTCCATGGTACTTTTTTTAGAGCAAAAACACTATCATCACATGGAAAGAGCTGCGTTAATATTAATTTTTTTTAAAAATCGCATTTTTTGTTCCACAGAAAAAAATAACAGCATATGAGCTGGAACATGAGTGTCAGTAAATCATGACAGATTTTTCATTTTTGTGTGAACAGGTTAACTATTCCTTTAACTAATTGTGTGGTTAAAGTAAAGGAAAAGAAAAATCTGAAATCTAGTAAAATGACCAGAATGAGATTTCACAAATATACCCAAAAGTTTTCTGGGTAATCCCGAAGGTTGCGCAGGCTTTGCACTACTGTCTTGCGATCCTCTTCCCATTGCCTTTTGCAGAAGACGATCTCAAGGAAGTACCACATCCAGCCAATCACAGGAACAAAGGAAAGTTCCTTTTTTGCCAACACCTTTGAGCTCTAAAAGCAAAATATGACAATCACATGACACCATCTAACAATCTATTTGCATCATGACAATACTGAGTCTTAAAAATTTGTATTACTACAAATTAAGAATCATTTAGAATCACACACTTGTTATGATGTCTGAAAGCAAGTTTTTTTTATATGACTGTATTTTTGTCTTACCCCTAAAACGCCAAATCTCTCACAGAAGGTCCAGCCAGTCATAAAATCGATCTCAAAGTTATGATTTAGGACAACAATGGCGTTCTCTTTGCCATAAAGTTTATAGCTTTCTGGAGCTGTGTAAAGTGTGCATTCTGTCCCGGACCACCACTCCAATAATGCCACCAATTCTGAACAAACAGAGAAAAAAAATACATACTGAATTGTGATGCATATATTCATAATGCAGAATGCATTTACATATTCATGAATGTGTAGTAGTCCAACAAGTTCATCATCTTTGTATGTATGTAAATATATGTTAGAAAAATTTGTAATATTCAAAAAATACAAATTTCCTGTTTTGTTACCCTCAGCGCAACATTGTTATATAATAATGGCTTGAGTTTTTGTGTATCCTACAATACAATTGTGGGACAATGCAATCTGTCTTAAACAGGTGAGACATGATAATCATGATAAATATTATTGACCTCTTTTTAATTTGTTACTATTTTTATGTGATTTTGGCACTTCCTTTTCAGTGCAGACAAAATAAGCACAGGAAACTTGTTGCATCATGGCTGGTTATATCGGTATCTTTCTTTGGAAGATGTGAGCTCACATGTGACAGCTTGCAGGACTTACGACTAGAAATGGAATAACCCAATCTGCAGTTGATCTTGCGTGCAAGCTGCTTGTTA